CTGTCGGTTGGGTATGCTTAGGCTCTTTGTTATTTCCCTTATTTATTTAGTATTTATTTGGGGATAACTCTGATGATGGCATTGCAAATCAGTGAATAATGGGGCTTTCACACTTTCACACAACACCTGAAAAACTCCTGATATTTCCCGGAGGAGCTGTATGTTACATGCAACGCAGACAGCCAAATTTTTCACTCAGACTTCACATAGTGACCCCTAGTATTTTTTTCCGCAGCAAGTCGGATAGAGCTGATGTAAGAACGCAGAATTATATATACCTTGAGCCAATGGGAGGGGGGAGTGACGTTTATATACTGTGACTGGAGTCTGCCTGCGACCGCTATGATCTGAATGCACGTAATGAAACAGCTGCATTATGCTTTCTGTTACTCAGTATGTTGTTGTCCGCTCTTTTGTTGACATTGTGATTCCGTCGAAGCATTGATATCAATGCAGATATTCTCATTATAGCTTCCTATAGAGGACTGTTGCTCACGTCTTACCTCGGCAACAAAAAAAAACTCTGTACTAACATTCATTGCTGCCGGATAATATTTTCAATATTGTATAACAGGCTGAACTGCACTGATCAACATAGGAAGAAGCATTGACGGACATCAATAGCATTTGCAATGTGAGCACAGTAGAATGTTGGAATCAATTTACAAAGGCTAGAAGCAATACCATACACTTAAAGTCATTTAGGGGGCAACTGGTCTGCAGACTCTTAGCAGAGATTTTGACCAACAACCAGGAAGTCATGTTAGAGTTATCAACCAGTGTATCAGTTTGAAGGCTTTGCAGATCACAAAAAAACAGCAGAAATGTTGACAATTCTCCAGGACGGAGAACAAAACTGATCACCTTTTTCTCCACGTCCCTCTGTGAAGGAGGCGTAATCTCACGTTCTGCTCTTCCCTTGAAGAGCTCCATCAGCAGCAGCCATCGATTGCTTTAATAAGATTATCTTACTCTTAAGCCCCTGGTCACCTTGTTTGTCCCTTGTCCAGTTTAAAAGTTTGCACTCTAATAATTCCTTCTGAAGTCACGGATAATGTAGAGAAACTGCACTTAGACTGTTCATCCAATGAGCAAAATGCAAAAAAGAAATCCATCGAGGTAACATTTAAAAAAAAAAATATTTAGTTTCAATGTTAAATGTAGTGTTTGAATTTATTTTTATCACTTAACACAGCTTTAAAAACTAATTTTTATGTATATTTTCTAATGAGTTCCTGGTACTTCAGCCTACACAAAAACACTCAGGCTCATCAGTTTCATATCAAAGTTGTATGTAGAGGCTTCTTATTACTTTTAGTGATCTTCAGTCCATTAATCAGTGTGTGTGCATGTGCGCGTGTGTGTTCCATCAAAATGCTGTTACGTAGTCAAAAATAGAAAAACGACAACCAAAAAAAAGCATGTTATCTCATTTATTCTTCATGAGTAGAGGAGTCACTATGTTATTTTTTGACATTTTCCTTTTTATTATGTTTTATACCAAGGTTTTGACTCTGCAGGAGGGTGCATGTGGGTATAGGCAGTGATCTGTGCAAAGGACAAAGTGACCTGCTTGGGAGAAGAATATGCTCAGAGGCGGGATGACACTTACCCTTTTATAGAATCCAATGAAGGGAACAAAACGTTGTATTCATAAAAAAAAAAAAAGAAAGATAATTCTTGCACTCACTTGCCAAATTAATCAAGCTGCATAGCGGCACGCTGCATGTCCATCCTTATCGGAACAGTGAATGGCTCCAGCTTGTATTCTGGACAAAATCAGTCTGTCATTGGACAAACGTTACGTGGTTGTCCAGAGTTCACTGAAGCCTTTTGTCATTAACTTAATATTGGCACCATTTTTCCTCTTCTTTTTTTTTCTTTCTTGCTAGACCTTTCAAGGTTGTTTTCCCCAGCACATACAGAGCAAAGCGCCTTTGCCTCTGCCTCTGCTAACTTTATTTAGCTTTTTAATGAAATTCTGCACGGTGATAAGTAACATGACTGTTATCTGACATTTAGGATGAATGTTGTGTGATTTGAAGCTTTTGTGTGAGAAACCATCACAAGCCATAGCTTGTTTTCTTGTTTGGCTACAGCCCCTCAAGACCCTCCATCCTGCTTTTTATCTCCTCCAAAAGGGCAAACATCTTTTTTTTTTTTTATTATGACCTGTTGTGGCCCCCGCAGCGTAAAATCTGATGGTCTGGTGTTGCTAGTTTTGATGTTTAATAGTAGAGATGTAACAACAATCTAACTCTCTTAGATTTCAAATCAACTCTAGAAAGAGGAGAAATCGATCAGCTGATCAATCTCAATTTCATATGGCTGTTGTTTTTCTCTCACAGCTTCACCTCCCCTGGGGAATGTTTCTTGAGTGATTCAACAAAGAAGTTGTCACATTTAACTCTCCTGAACTTTTTCTTTTTACCTTCTGAACATTGAGTTCTTACAACAATGAAGCCTGTCTGCAAAAGAGTTTTTAAAATGGGAAAAAAAATAAAGGTTCACATACAAAACTAAAAAAGTACATGCAAAGCTCAATTTTTTTTTCATCCATAGCATCCAGAACAGGATACAACACGGACAAATAATCAGCTACAACTAAAACAGCACTGCATATGGAGCACTTAATGACAATAACAAAATGTTATTGATCAAATTAGAATGAAGCACAAAATCAATACAAAGCAGATATCACCTTTGTTAGCTGCATTGTTGTTGTTGTTAATTTCAGATGCTTCAGACAGGTTAGGGTGCAGTTAATTAAATCACTAATTAAGAGCTGTGTTTGAGAACACACTGTTCTGATTTATTGTTCTTTGAGCCTGTCTGAGGTCCCTTTTAGCCTTTCCCCAAATATCAAACAAAGACCAGGACAAATTTGCACCCAGGAAAAAGACCCCCAGGAAACTCAGGTCTCTCATATAGCGGACTGAAAAAGGCAGACAATTTATTAAAGCAATAATGTCAGAAAAATTGAAAGTTTTTAGTATATAGTTTATTGGAAATGATTACTTTATTATTATTTTTCTTTGTGGATGTGGTTAGAGTTTGATCACTCGGCAGTAAAACCAATTAATTTTTTTTTTTTGTCATTTTAATTATTTTTTTTTACAAGTTATGTTACCGAGGTATCTTGATTTATCAGGGAAATGCTGATAAATTAATCCCTTAGACTTTTGCTTTTGTCTTTTTCAAACCTAAAATAAAAGTACAAAAATATCTTTTTCCGTTCTTGCTCGATGAAGTGTATTACTCTTTCATGTATGAGCCATGTTTATCGAGCCTCACAGTGGTGCAAAAGAAGGGCAGGTTATGATGCCGATGGTCACAAGAGCTTGATGTGCTCTGTAATCTGAAGTACAATTATATCTTAAAGTAGCGCACTTAAGCTCATCACAAATCCAATACCAATCAGTGATGTCCTTAGTTCTGGCCTGTTCGGATATTGATCAGACGCCGCTTTGCTGATGAAAGTGTTGCTCTAGTTGTTTTACAATATTGATTAGTGGGGATCAAGAGAAGCTATTTTCTGTTCACTCTTAGAAAAATAAATGGTGTCACCCATGGGTAGAAACCTTAAGAGCATTCCTGTGCAGAAGCTTTAAGAGAATTGTGTGTATTCTTTTATGGTGTATATAATGAAAATAAATGACGGGTAATGTATTGTTACAGGCTGATCGACTCCATGACCAGAGTGTAATAAATGTAGATTTGTAAACTGTAGACTGTTACCGACAATATATTTTTATGTAATACTCTGTTTCATTCAACTCTTTACTTTATTATAAAAGAAAATGAAACGTCACAAAACAGGAAATAAAGTTGGGAGTTAGTGTGTATTAGAGCCCGACCGATATGAGATTTTTTGGGGCCGATTGTGATATAAGGGAGAAAAAGAAAACAGAAACCGATATATCGGTCGATATCTTTCTTAGATCTATGTTGGATCTGTAGAGATAGATAGATTTAGATACACACATTTATCCTTCAATTGCAATTATTAAACAATTGTGGAAAAGATATATAACGTAGACAAGATGGTCACTCAACTGTAAAGTAACTGTGCATGTACGTGCATCACTGCTTAACACTCTGTAGGGTAATAATGCTTGCTGTAATCCACGTAGCACACTCTGCTGGTACCTGAGAACTGCTAGCGTAATCCAGAGATTCTCAAGTGAAATGCTATTTGACTGGTGAAAAAATCTCGTAATATTGGAGCATACTGTATCTGTGATTAAATTATCCAATCCTGATAGTCACTGGATACGCTAATATTGGCCGATATTATTGGCTGGCTGATAAATTGGTCGGGCTCTAGTGTGTGTACTAATTTGAGGCTCAAATAATTCTCCATTTGATCCGTGTGTCCTCATTGACATTCATCTGGAAGTGATGTTCAGCGTTCTACTTTGAGAAGAAACCTGAGGGTTTCACTGTTCTCTTCTCTGACGTACACTACAATAGATTGTTTGATCCTTTCAACAACTGTTTTTCTATCTGCATTCATAGTCAAATACGTCATCATTTAAGAAGTGTTCGTCTTACAATTTACTGATTACTGTTAAAACAAAGATTACACAAATGATTGGGCTTGATTCACATGGTGGTGAGTTTTAAAAAAAAGAAATCAATGTAGATCTTAATTTTGACACTCTGAACACATACTATCTAGAGATACACTGTGACAGCAGCAGAAATGATCACAGCAAAATTTCCAGCCTGTGGCTCTAATCTGTTTTTTTTGGCAATTTAAATACATTGAACAATATTCCAAAAACATTTTGTGGTGTTGGATTATTATTATCATTATAGATCGTTATGAAAATGTGTTCTGTGTCTTCAACACCATCAGAAAAGCATTGTACTTTATAAAATCAAAGTTATATCCATGAAGGGAATAAACACTTTGTGTTTTTACTAGATTACTAGTTGTCTGACCAGACTGTGTTTTGTGTTTTACTGACGTGTCATTCTGTGTTTTAATGTTTCAGCAACTTATGAGGGAGCGTCAGCAGATGGCCAGTCGTCCGTTCGCCTCGGTTGCTGTTGAGCTGGGTGGCCAAGGAGAAGAGACAGCCCTGCTGCAGCCTGTGGTTGATGTGAGTTATTTAATATTTCAACAATGTATGCAATAATATCGATTCTTATGCCTTTCCATAATGATGTCTGACAAAGAAAACAGTCGTTAGTACGTCAATCTCATTGTGATTATGAGAAATATCCTCTCCTCAAACTCCAATATTTTTTCAACGAAATCAGACTGATTGTTATATTAGCTTCAAAGTGCTTCTACTGACATCCAGAACATCACATAGTTGTGTAGTGCCTCATAATTGGACCTTATTGTGCTCTCCTCAACCAGCTCATGCCCTCTGCTCGCAATTCTATGTCAGCCCTTTATCCACTCCCCACATCGATAAGTAATCTGGCCCTGATAGCCCTCTCTCCACATGTCCCTCTACTTCATATGAATTGTCCTCTGCAATCAGAGGAACAGACATGCTGACGTTTTCAATTGTATGTTAAAGGAAACATCTTTTATGTGAACTGATGTCGTGAAAATAGATGGGGTTTTTTTTCCCCTGAACGATTTTAAAAGATCTTTTGAATGCGACTTCAATCCCTTTTACAACAAAATTCAGTCACCATTCTGAAAAGCATCGCCCAATTGGAAAAAAATTTGGAACTTTGTATTATTGTCACTTAAAAGTGTTTTATTTGTATTTATTTTTACAAAACATTTCGTCTTAGGTCATTTACTAGCAACCTGCTGCGTTCAAATGTTGATTAATTCATCATTACACCCCGCACATTCACATGCTTTTTTTTTTTGCCACTCCACCTCTTTATCCCTGTATGGTGAAAAGACAAAGACACAAAGACAGAAGGAGTGCAGCTCTGAGCACACTCCAGGTCTCAATGCCACCTGGGATAAAAGCGTAACTTAAAACAAAGTGTGGAGCTGCATCCTCAAATTGACATCGAAGGACCGGCAATGTTTCCTCGGGTCGGGGCCGGCTCTGTGCCACCTGCCGCTGAGAGAAATAAAATCACTGTGGCAACCGGCAAAGAGGCACTACATTAGCTATTAGTGCAGCGCTGAGTGCCACTCAGTGTGCATTATGGTATCGTGAAGGGCAATGTAAAGAAGAAAACACTGCTTCTTAGCTCTCTGAGTGCACTTTATTGTTGCACTGTTAAAGTGGTGAGGCTCAGCCGGAATCTGAAAAGCGCCTGGATACAACAGCTTTGTCTTCATTTCAGGGAAATATTAACTACGTACTTGTCGGTTGGGCAGGTTTATTTAACAGGTATTTAATATCTTACTCTAACCCTTTTCCTTTACCGTGCAAAAAACACTGACAGTGTTGTTGTTAAACCGGTGCATTAGGTAGAGACTTTGCATCCACTGGGGAGTGTTGCTGTGAATAATGGCCCAAGCTGTTTTGAAACGATAACTGTGAGAAAAAAAAAAAAAAAAACACACCCTCAGTCCTCTGCATTCTCGACCCTCTCAAGATGCAGAATGAACCGATGCATTGCCTGACTTGAAATGTCACATAGAAGTCCATACAGATCTGAAGGAAGTAACTTTCAAAGCATTCCAGGAAACACTGGAGAACTTTAAGAAATTAAGCTAAATTAGATTTTTCAGCTACGGCAACTGAAACAGATGGTACGGTGCTTTAGTGCTATTATGTTAGTCATTGCCATCTCATCTTTTCCAGTACTAAATGAATTCTCTCTAACCACATGCAACAATGTGTGAAGGCGGAAAAGTGTTTGATGAGTATGAAAAACTGATATTATAGCTGAAAATCACCAACAATTAATCTTTTTCACGTCATCTTTATTTAGAGCACGTTCACTTTCTGCAGTCGTGCTGGCATCATGCTGTTATCGTGCTGTAATCATACCGTTATCGTGCTGCTGTCACGTGATTTTGATAGTTTGAAGTGTTTAAATGAAATAGAACAGAAGCTGCAAACACTTCAGGCTCTTTCACTTCTTGTTTGTCCCATGTGCAAGTCATTGGACAAGGTGCTGCTTATAAAAAATATGTAAAAATGTTTAATTAAAGCTCTAAGGATATGATTAATTTAAACATATATATATATATATATGTTTTTATTTGTGTTAAAATAGAAGCTAATTATCGGATCCAAGTCTTCCTCTAGTTTTAAAAAATGTATCTATTAGGTTTTAAATGTTTGGTACCACATACAGCTTCCTCACATGGCTTGGCAGCAGCACAAGGTGAAGCATATGATTGAAACAAGCTTAATTCTCTTCTATAAAGGTTAATTGGTCGACATCTGGCACCACTTAGCTTGTTGAAATATTTGTTGATGTCAAAGAGGACACTGATGCTCACAATAACCACTGGTTTACAGATTATTTTACCAGCTCTCTTTTTACTATAAGACTCAAACCTTCTCTTTCACAGCTGTATAGAGAATGTAAACATATATAAAGGAATATCATCTAAGAATTTCATGCACTGCAGGCCTACTGGGGATCCGTTTTCAAGGTAAAAGATTTGAGCAAATCTTTGACCATCATACAAACACCATTAGCAGATTCAGCTCGTGTGAGGGGCTGCATGAACGAAATGACCCCTCACAGCCCTTCCAACACATTAAAACATTTCACACCGTTTTCTGTGATTGTCAGCTCTCATCTCGTTTCATTAGTTAGTACCAGCTCTGTGTCACTAAGTCTTTGCAGAGCCTCCAGCTGGTCTGAGAGAAAAACGAAAAACGAAAAACAGCCTTCAGTGCCCATTTCCTCCATTTTTGGTCAGGGTTTTAACCCCCCCCAAGAGATGGATGTTGCTTTTAGTGACCAGGATGTCAGCAGCTGTTTGACAGAGAGCCAGTCAGAGCACCAACATTGCAGGGCCAGGCCTCAATGTCACAGATGTCTCTATTCAGTATGGCCGACATTCAACATATGGAAACGCTAACGGACAGCTAGTGTGATGGATGACACCTGTCAGCTGGGGGGAAAGAAAGCTGATACATTTAGTGTGTTCATATGTGTTTGTGTGCTTACTTATGTGGCTGGGTGGTTATGAATGACCAAAACAAAATCCTCAGGCTTGATTAATGCGTCGAAGAAATGCAGGCTGGGTAGACTTTTTATTTGGAAGATATGAAAATGGACACCGCAATTTGAAAAATCTTTGATAGGAAAAGGCAAGCCTATGATTTGAAATGGAATGAAATGATTTATTAATGTTTTCATTTCCTCTGCACCCAAGGAATACTTCTGTTATCCCAGATTAATATTGGAATTTGATTTCAGAGAGAAAATGAGAAAGGCAGAGAAGAAAGAAGGTTGAATTAAACATTTTGGTTTGTATGAAAGGCAGAAATAACAACAATGTGTTGATTTTCGATGCTCAAAAGTAACCATACTTATACAACCATCGATTTCCAATGAGCTTACTGTACAAACAATGGAATGCAGAATTGCATGAAGGTTTATCATTTGGTCACTTAATTAATAGACAGCAATACACAGTCAAATGCAGTAATTAGTCAAATGTCTGGTTGAAAAGGGCTGAACACATTTTCAAAATAAGATGTTTTATAGTTCAAAGAATCTATAGTGAAGTTGTTCTTCTGCACAGCTATGCTTTAAGCTATATGCTAACTTACTTAAGCAGGTGAGGAAACTAACTCTAGCTACATAAATGTATTTATTACCACCAAACACAAGCTAGCTCTAAAACTGAAAGAATGCCATTCATTTTTGACAATTATAAATTGTTCTGACCACTTGTTGGAGCTTAATTAATCCAGGATGTTGATCATCAGGGGACCGTGTGTGCCTGTTGAAAGTTTGTTCAAGTCCATTATATTATTGTTTTACTCAAAAACCATAATATCCACTCTCATGATAGTGCTACAATTCTACAATTCAATTGGCTATTTAGCCAGTTACACACTTTTATCCAAAGGGATGTACATCAGAAAGTAAGTACAACACAAGCAAGAATCTAGAAAGGAGGAAACAGTGAGAGCTAGAGGAAAAAGCCAAGGGGTCACAGTTTGCTGTATCGATCTGGGGGTAATGAATATCTGTACAAAAGCTCATCTCAAGCAGTTCAATACACATCCGTACAAACCAAACTGCTATGATATGTAACAAGTTTCTATTTCTGCTGCTGAGTAAATGTTGTACGATCGAGCAGACGTTCTTTAGTTTCTTTCAAAGTAAAAGTAGGTTTGTATCCAAACAAGAAGTAAAGTATACTTAGCTTAGGACGGTACAAAAATACAAAATAAAAGCATAGCAAAAAACGTTTTGAAATGAAAACATATGGAATTTCAAACCAGCGATTAAATATGCGATGAATCAGGATAAACTTTTATTTTTAAGCGATTTATCACCATATTAAACTTTAAGTTGTTGATCTTAAGTTTTTCATGAAGTTGCTGCCACGAAAACTTTAAAGATATGATTCTTTTATGTATACTATAAAGAAGTTCTGCAACAACATATAAACCAGTCTCATTGTGATTCCATTAGTTTGTAACGGCTGTCAAGATTTTCCACCCAATTGTCCAACAGTTAAATTAAGTATAATTTTTACATTACAGAAAACTAGACTCTGTTCTCTTTGAGATACTTAACTTCTCTGGGACCATTAAATGTACAGAAGTAGTCTTTACAGTTGATCCAAGGGATGCATTTTTCCAGCGTAGTATACACTTCAAGTAACGTTTTTTGTGATGGTAGATATTTTGAAATAAGGTTATTTGGACACAATGTAAGTAACATTCTCTGAGAATAAACTGTATATCTATATGTTCCTAAAAGAGCTGGATTGGCTATTAAGTGTAAACCTGTCATATTTGATTATACTTTGTATCTGTTCTCTGGTCTGTAATTTCTGTCTTCACCTTTGTCCTGCTCTCTGTTCTCATCATCGTTCTGTCCCTCTGCATTAGTACCAACTGATTTGTAGTACAGCCGAATGGAAAACACGCTGAGCACTTAAAGCTCTGCAAATGACGAGATCCTGCAAAGAGGCTAGCTTTTGAGAAAGCCCAAAACCAGTACATCCAGTACATGATTAACACACAAAAAGCTTCATGAACTGGGATAAACCATTTACTCCTTTGACTTAAAAGCTGATGAAGCTGTTATTAGCTTAACCTGTAATTAACTTGTGTACCTGTGATTACATATCAATAAAGCATTCTGCCTTAAATTGATTCCCATTGATATTTTTGTCTTCAATATGTTAAAAGTTTCAAGTAAGAAAAATTCAATCTCATATATTTAAAAAAGAAGTGTCCCTGAAAAGGATTTAGTTGAACACTGCTGTGCTAACTAGCTAACGCTGGCTGCTGAGCTAATGTTCTGCACACCGGATAATGTATCATTATGATGCTGACCATATTTGTTGCTTTCAGTCGATCGTTTAATAGCTGTTTCAGCTCGTGGACATTTTCTTGGTGCTCTGATCCACTGTGTGCGGTATGACCTTCCTGTGGTTGAGTGGCTTTTTTAATGCTTTTCACATCACCTAGTAACTGTGATAACACTGTAGTTGTGAGCCGTGACATTTGAAATGGCATTTTTAATTGGCAGTTGAAAGAAAAATTACACTTTGCACTCCGTCGGGAAGCTTAAGCACATTTGTATGTCACTATTGACACTCGTAGTTTAGAAATTAAACATGTTTATAAGATTTAGATTAAATCTTTTAAAGTTAAAGCAAAGTTTGAAATGAACAACTTCCAGTGAAAGCGCACCACAATCCTGATTCTCTCATATTTGATTGCATTTGTTTCTGCATCCCTCCCTCTTCCACTTTGCCTCCGCTGTCACTCTCATTTCTGTTTTAAATCCAGCCCGACACAAAGCAAAAAGGAAAAAAAAAACAGCCAATTCTATTCAGACTTGTTATTATTCCCCAATTTCTATGCCTCCATCCACAAACATGCTGTGAAACCCTTGGCATTCATTATCAGGATGACATGTTTTTCACGCTTGAGACAAGCAGTTTTTGGCCATTAACTTGGAGGGCAAGTCATTGCCTCGATACATGAACCGCCTGTCAGGGACGCACAGAAGTGTTTTTGTTGTTCGGCCAATCAAAGTGCACGTCTCGGGAGGAGGGCGTCTTAAATGTCGCGGCTTCAGGGGTTAACATCATTGACTGATGGGCCGCTGGTTCTTAAAGCATGTGTGCTATTGAAAGAAAAAAAAAAACACACATGAATAAGTATGAAGTTTATATTACTTTGATTAAATTGGATCTGATACTTTGACTATGAAGTAATTTAAACGTTTTTTCATAATCAATGACGATTTTGTGGCTTTGTTTTTTCTTCTTCTCTTTTTCGACTTCTCAGGGTGCACCTAAACCCGTTGCGATGGAGCCATGCTCAGGAGGAAAAGCTGCCGTGTTGACCGTCCTCGTACATCTCCCCTCTGGGCCTTCAGGCTTACCTCCACCTGGACAGTCAGGTAACTCACATACGGGCCATACCAATTATTATCATTTCAATTCAAATTTGCCAACATTTGCAACATGCACTGTATGAGGAAAAAAAAAGCTGTTTTTTTTGCCTTACATAACCTTTACCACAGGAGAATGTGTGCATATCTGGTTGCTTAATTAGACCTATATTCAAGATTTCTCAGTAAACCGAACACAGATTTACCCGGGTTCATCACCCAAAGGCGCACACTGCTCACTTGATCTCAGCTCCGTCTCCAATTACTATGTCTGGATTAGCTTTACGGCCACATTCTGCTAGGTAAGGCTCGTCTGAGAAAAGTACCTACTGCTGTTCAATCCCAACTGCAGAGCACATATCCATCAATCTCCACTAATTGTAAGCTTGTAACTCAGAAGTCACAAAGCGGCTTCAATCCGTTTTATAACAAAGGTATAGATTGAAATAAAGCAGGGGGGGGAAACATGCTCAAATGTTAACATCGAGAGGCAGATATGAGGAGAAATGAATGCTGTGTCAGGTCCTTTTGCAAGTAGAAAAGCAAAAAAGCAAAAAAAACATCAATGCTATTTCTGATGTAACACCAGGACATTAGGAGAATCAGAAACAGTGAAAGGCTTTCATGACAGAGTTACACAAAAGTCTACATTAGTAATACTTTTCTACTGAAATTCAAATGATGCTTATTTAGGATTCATGTACTCCACCGAAAAATATATTGCCCTCTGGAGTTCAGGGTTTTGTATGGATTCTGTATGTAACTAAATTGAAAGAAAAAAGACTGAACACAACTCAGTAGGCCAGATGTGTCTGCTGGACTGCACATGTGAATCTCTGCCTTACATTGCATACATTCCCTTTTCAGAAGTCCTGAGCACAAAAAGCCAAAGAGACACAAATTGTATATCAAAACTTGGCTTGTAAAAATGTCAATTTCAGTGATTCTTTCTTTAGAACTGGGTCAGTTGATAATGCCACCTGCATCTAAATGAATAACTGCAGTTGATATGATGGGATGAGATATGTTTATATACATATACTCATTGACATAATGAAACTTATCTAAACCCTTCCATGTATGTTCCAGGGTTAATAAAATGTAAAAACAGCCATTAGGAAAATATGTAATAGCACAAACTTAACCAAACTTATCACAATGAAATAAAAGGCCTGACCTTATCTCCTACAATGAATGTTCTCTCAGAAATTGTCGCACCAATTCCCAAAGGACAAACTCCAATGTTAGCTTTTTGAAGCTGCAAAATATTGTCCCTCAAAGTGCGTCTCTGTGCATTTGAAATATTCCACACATGCACCAATTTGTAGAAGTTTGCTTTTTTTTTTTTCCCGCAGCCCTCATATATATTTTTGCTTTCCTTTGTAGGAATCATTGTTGCCAGTGCCCTGATAGACATCTCACAGCAGAAACCAACAGATTTTAAGGACAAGTCGCAGGCTTTCAAGAACCGAAAAGCCCATCCTCCAGCACATCAAGGCACCTGCGTCTGAGTCCCGCAATCGAATGGATTCTTAAAAAAACCATCTGAGGTCGGATTGTTCAGACGTTGCCCATTCTGAGGCTTTTTCAAGAGACAAATGTGGCTGCTAACACTCAATGAAACTTGCCAAGTCCGAGGGGCACAATCCTTCCTTCACCTTTGCTGCCCACTTCTCCCATTACTGGAACTACTTTTCCTCCACCTTCTGGACCTCAAGCTCCTCCTTTCCTCATGAGCAGTCAGCTTGTGCAAGGAGGGACTCTGCCTGATCAGTTACATCACCAGAGAGATCCTGCATCTGTTGAAAGCTTCAGCGTCAGTATTTTGCAACACCTTTTTAGATGGAAAAGCAAAGTTGTCTGTATTTGGGTTCTATCAAAGTTTACCCGAGTTGAAACACATTATTTAAAAAAAAAACATGCTGCCTGGGTTTTAGCTTCTTTTTTTTTTTTGCTGGCCAACAACTGGTATTCTACGGTGCTAATGCATTTAGTTTCTATGACAAGCCTTTGATGTATGAACTCAATACATTCTGCCTTTTATAAGGAAAGGAAGGACTCCTATTCCTTTGTTACACCCCATAACCACATGCTAGTGTTTTGACAACGGAGAGTATTTAACAAGCCACTTTCACCAATTAGTATTAGGGTTGATTTTAGCATTTACTGTACATATGTATCATCCACCCAGCTGAAGCTAAAGTCTGTAATTTCTGAGGAATGGAAAGCTGCAGAGAAATGAGACTGAAAAAAAAACCCACATCCTGCAGCATGCGGGAGAGGACTGCGAACAGAAGAGAGGCACAAACAAATCTTCAATGCATGGAAAACTCCAAATCTTGAGGAAACATTGAGATGATTTAATTTGCAAACTGAAGGTTTTCCTTTGTGACTTTTTTTTTTTGTTACTCGCTGTTGAAGAAGTTACATGATGCGAAGAAACACTAAAGTTCAGGTGACTTCTTTAATGTTGTTTTGCTGTGCAACTTGGACATTAAGCTGTCGAGCTTGACCTCGGATTGACGTCGTTACGAGAAAGAAGCCTGTTTGAACAAAATAAGAGCAGGGGCATTGTGCTGGCTGTGTACTTGTTGGTTTGTATGTTTTTATGTAAGAGCCCTCTAAAGCTACACCTTTATTTCAATCTATTGAGTACAAGGAGTTCCGTTTCCTTTTTTTACAATGCCTTGGCTTTCATTGAACTCCTACGTGGGAGAAGGGGCAAGTTGATGTGCAGTATTTTAAAAAGCTGACTGTTTTTTAGCCCCGCCCCAACCCCCCCAACCCCACACCCCCACCCCTGGGCTGTACAGTGTCTTGTTGGAACAAATGTGATTCTTTGTCACTCTTTCTCTCTTGAGATTTCATGTGTTTGTCAGGTTTTTATGACAGTATGGCAAGAGATTATCTTTATTTTCCGGGCCTTGTCACCTGTTCCTATTATATCTTTGAATTGTAAGTCTTTTGCTACACTTGTGAAAAGAGCATTTCTGTTATTATTTTTGTTTTTTTTGATATTTAACAGATTCCTGTGTAGTAGCGCATTTAACTATATTTTATTGTTTGACGTAAAACGGTTCATTCGACGTCAGCTCTCTTTTGAAACTGTGCATCTTTAAGGACTGTATGGGCATTGTATTTGTGTTGCAACTTGTTCACTATGGTGAATTTCATAAGGATAGTATGCGAGCTAATGTTTTTTTTTTATTTTGTGTTTGTAGAGTAATCCGATAAAAGTGTCATTACACAGGAATCTGGGTCTCACCGTACCGTGAAAAAAAAAAGATGATAAACTGCATATCAGTAATCTTCAGTGTATTTGAAAGATGGACAATATGCCAGAAAATAAAAACCAGGAGTGGACATCGTCTTTGCACAGTCATCTTTTTGAAAACAGTACAAATAATGCAGCCGTTGAATTCTAAGGTATATTTCTCACCTGCCTGTCGTATTTTTTTCACACCAAGCTTCAACCTACAATTTGTGATTACATTCTGGTGCCCAGCGTTCAGCACTGCTTGATTGCCTCAACTAAAGATAATTATTCCCTCTGAGCGTGTGTCGCAAACACCAGCCAAACACAGACCTAGATGGTTGTGTGTTTTGTGCACGGAAACAGTGAACAAGAGAAATCGACAGGGAAAGTTGCTATACAGTGTATTTTCTACAGATTTTTCTTCTGGTATAAAATTGAACTATATGATCTTCTTAAATGTTTATGAATGTATGTAATAAAATAATTTTGTTGGAGCATTATGTTATTGTTTGAATCACACTTTTTCTCAGTAATTCTTTTAAAGATTGTTATAATTTTCTAAATCTGTCTCAAAGTTAATAATACATCCACTGATGCGCAGACTTGGACACATCATCAGTGTTGTTTCCTGGAGTTACTGGGTGTTTCGGGTCTTGCAGGGGCTGATCAGACCCGGACTGTGTCCAAGTGGCATTCTACTACCCCCACTGCTCTCCCCTCTTCAACCAGAGCCATCTGGAGGCTTTTTCCGCTGCCTCCACGTTGTTGCCTATGGCTCTTCTTCGGTTTGCTCCTGTTATCCCCAGTGTGCCGTAGGCTTTGCTCAGGGAGTGACTGGCAAACCCCAGACAGCCCACCTCCACTGGCATACACCTGGTCTTCCACCCGTTCCTCCGACGAGGAAGGAACAGAAGTAAACGTCCAAGGGTCAAATTAACCTTTAAAATCAATATTCTATATTGTAAGTGCCTATCGAATATATATTTTTTATTTTCTCAATTTTATTTAAAGCTGATTAAATACTCATTTGACTGAGCAGAGCTACAAAATCAAAAAGACAAGGCCTTAAGGGGAAATTTAAGTTTATTAAACTACTTTTAAAAGAAACAAATGATCCTGTTAAGACTTCATGCAAAACAAACACTTCTTCCTGCAATGTTTTGCATATTTCCCTTTCAAGGTTCCCTTTTTAAGTGATTAAAAAATCTGCAGTCTAAGACCTTATTGAAGAAGAGCAGGATTTTATTTTTTTTATTTCATGAGCAACCCCCCTCCAGAGTGATGTTCTTCTTCATTAGCAGTTTGCAATTAAAGGAGGATGTAAAGAAATACATGCAGCCTGCCAAAGTGCTACTCGAGATGATCTTATTTATACTCAAGTTCACTTACCTGCTGCAGGCGCTTTTGTAACAAAAAAGAAAAGCCACTACAGAACTCTAAAGGAGTGTTCTCTTGGGTTTATTATAATGCTGCTGTCGGCAAGAAAACTGAAAACCTATTATACCGAATATACAAGGGGAACATGAAAATAAGGCATGCCCATCATTGAGATTTTTTTATTCATATCAAACCTCTGATTTCAGGGTTTTTAGCAGTGAACATGGAATATTTGTGCGTCATAAATACGATCTGTATGGCATGTGTGCACTTGTTGCACATCAAAGAGAGGTGACAGCTCTGGAGGTGATGTGGTCTACAGGCTCCATTATGCTGTGCAATTTTGCAGCCCTTTTGACTGCCAGTCGACCATGTGAAGTGCAGTCAGACTCCTAAAAGTCCACCCCTGCTGTTTTGGGTGATGCTGACAATAGACATTAAGAAGTGCCTTAGAAAATAGATGCATTAGAGCAACGTTTGGCGGCTGTGCCATAGCCGTTATGGTCCCATAATTGCTAATAAATTATACAGTAAATTAATTCAAAAAATGAAAGTGTAAATAGTATATAAGTACAAAAATCCTCAACATGACAGAGACTTCATCCCGGCCGGCTCTGATGGACACTTGGGAACATGGTTTTAAGCAGCATTTCTCAATACTTGATTGACATCTCAGTACTAAATTCTGATCAAAAGGCATAAAGATCAACCATCATTAATCTTCTTACAATCACAGGCCACGTAACTTTTGTATTTTTTGTGTCTAATGGAAAATATATTCTGTTGTCATGGTGCTTTTGTATTGTTTTATCATCCTTTCTTCTGTCAACAAAAGATTATTCAAAGGGCTTCTGGAGGTTCATTATGTTCTTGGAAATGATCCATAATGTTCAACTTTTTCTAAAGGATGGAGTGCAGACGACCTGAAGATAAAGCTAAAAATAATTACATTATCTAATTTAGGTTAAAATAATTTAGTAATTTCCTAGAAAATGTAATAACACCACAATCTTAAGGCATCATATCATGTCTTATCATATTGTCTTATGATATGGAATGGTAAAATAAACTATGCATTTGATTTGTCTTATTGTAGTGTAAGGTAACCGTCTAAGCCACTACACCAGCCTGCTGCCTTTCATTGTTTGCTTGTTTTTTTTAACTTAACTTCAGTTTCAACAATTTATGCAATAGAGTTTTTCAATTTTTCTTTTCTGCTTACAGCTGAATATGTTTACAAGGATAAATACAATAATAAACAAAAACACAAAGATATAATTTAACTCTATCATAAAGTACTTGGGATAAACTAGAATATACTAATCCAGTTGAATTAAAAGGAGGGGAGTTAAGGGTAAGGGAGGAGATTTGTGTCATTGTTTGCTTTTTGAGGGTTAATGTACTGTTCAGTACATTATTAATATAAAAGCATGCTTTAGGCTTCAGTGGGAGAAACCCAGTAGACTCTAGTTTCCCATGGAAAGGTCTCAACCAAGGTTTGAGCCCTGTGGCTTTCGACTGGGAAGTGGCAGCCTTTTAGCCACTACACCATGTGAAGCCTGTAAGTGCATGCTCTTTTAGGGAGATTGTCCTACCTCATGTGGTGGTGCAGCCCATCTGAACACATCCAAATTTTGAACACTGGATCGTCTGTCTGGGAGTTGGCCATCTCAGCATTTCACCACTGTGAAGCCTGTATGAGCTCGCTTTTTTAAGGGTTTGTCTTTTCATCTCAGGACAGTAGGGTAGTTCAAAATCATCTCCAATGGGACACACCATATGACTCCAGCTAAACACTGGATGGACTCAACCAATATTTGATCACACAGCCTCCTGGCTGGGAGGTGACAGTCTTAGCCACAACTCTACTGTGAAGCCCATAGATGTCCACTCTTTTAGGGGCTTTATCTTTTTAATATCAGGACATAGGCTTATGTTTAAAATCTCCAATGGGAGACAGCCAGATCAACTCTGAACGGACTTAACCAAGATTCAAACACTTAACCCTTTTGAATTTGATGAATAAGAGAATTAAAAATCTGAGAGAGTGGTCGTCTGTCATTAAGAGACGCTTTTTTACGTTAGTCATCCTGTCAAAGTCCATAAAAGGCTGATCATCAAATATTGTCGTGTTTTCATTAACTGTTTTATGATTTCAACATTTCCCTAAAAATTAAAACAAAGGGTTTTGTGACATTTCTTTTATTGTCAGATAGTTTATGTAAACATGATGAGAGAGTATGGATTTTCTATTTATCTTAGTTTGTCTCGATATAATTAAGAGATGTCACTTTCAGCTAAATAATGAATGTGTGTGAGTGTCAGAAGACAACCCATTATTCAAAAATAATGCTGTGGACTTGAATTTGGAGGGCAGCACAAATCTAAAATCAGAGTGTCCAGGCCTTAACTTCTGATATTCCCGTGTTCTTTACGTAATTGAAGTGTAAAACTAACACACTTCAAACATTTTACAGGTAGGCCTCCTAGAAAAGGTCCTAAACAGACATTGCTCTTTCCCATAGCTCAAAGTCTGTGAAAGATTAGTGTATTATTGTTGCATTCAAGTCATGTCGGGTAGAATAAGAAAAAAGTATTCATTACACTACCCGCAATTAATCAATTTGATGAATTAAAAAGAGTTGAATGTGTCACTTTTATAATGGCATCGTTATGTAGTAGTTTGTTGGCACTGTTAATGATTCTGAACTTTAAATAGCTTATTTTGTCGTATGCATATTTTTGTCTGAGCTTCCGTGAAGTGCTCATCATTTCGCCGCGAGGAAGAGGACACTTTTGAATTTTCGGGCAACCCCCTTGACACTTAACCTGAGAAATTGTTCAAATCCTCCTGAGCTAAAAGTGGACATTTTATCTCAACCCGAAACTCACCAGAACAGTATTTTACTTGTGAGGCTTCTTATAACTCCACAGTGTTTACTATTACAAGCTGAGTGTGCTCGTCGACATTCCTCTCCTGTCGCTTAAGGACATCGTTGTGTCCGGATAAATGGACTACACTTTGGGACAAGGATGGTGAAATGATGCGGAACAACATGTTTTCTATTCAGGAAGGCCAGACTTTTCAACGCATGTAAACAGTGAGTTGTCTTTCTGTTCGATTTATTTGGATCAATTATGTTGCTGTTCTGCATGTCTCGTCTGCTTTTTCATCTAATTCGTCTTTTCTTTGGCTGCTTTCAAATCAGTTGGGTAGAATTTGCTTGGTATACATTTTTGGCTGAGTTAATTCACTTTTGGTACTTTGGCAGGTGTAATAATGCACAAGTGAAATATGTGTACTCATATTTAATGCTATTGAATGATGTGGACTGACATGCTGCGTATTATTTACTCATTTGATTTATGTTACATTGTGGGTTTCAGCTGTCATTGTAGATGGGCCTCAGGTAAGTGAAGTAGTTTATCATCCACACAGCTCATCAGCTACACAAATATTTCTTCTTGTCATAGAAAACATCTTATTTAATTTTTTTTTTATCTGCAAATCACTATCAGCATTTCACCAACTTAATTAGCTGATATTAAATTTACAAGTAGGAGGATGGCACTCACTTAATGAGACTGCTCTGAAGTCTGAACATTTTTCTAAAGAACACATTTAGTTGATAATTATTATATTCTGCATTTTGTTTGGCTTGCAGCTGCATGGATTGAATACTGGCCAATTCACAAGTTCTATTTTGTGCCAATTTGCCAGCTTAGCAGCAACATGGCTGCTGTCTAGCTCTATGTCTTAACGTGGCTGTGTTCAGACTTTTAACTATACAACCACTCTCCAATATTAAGTTCCCGCCATGCTTTTAGGAAGTCAATAGCCTGTTTTCCAAACATCAACCCTGTACCTACTAAATGTTGGCCAGTGAACCTTTTTTAACGTGTGTTGTCAGACCTGAAAACCTGTTTACTCAACTTGAATATTTTGTGTTTGTGTGTGTGCAGCGATTAGCCACCAGCTGGGTGTAAAGCTCTCTGTGAAGGACAAAGCCTCTCTGTCAAGGTCTCAGGTGTAGCTGCTTTAAGAAATACTGCCCTTTCAAATGAACATTAAAATGTAGTAGTGTAGTTATGCTTGACAGAACACATGGTTCAAACATTACTTTATGTGGTAAGAGTGCTGATTAGTTCAAAATGTTTTAAGTGTAAGCAGAATTTTTTTTGTGTGTGTGACAGGTCAATAACAATCCTGTGTTAGTAAACAAATTCTCATGTGGGGGAGTAATTACTCTGATTGAGAACAGCTGGTGTCATGTTCTGCAGCGTGCCCTTTTGTGGAAATGGAGCTCTCCGTGGTCCTGAACTGCTGGCTGAGTGGCATGGCAGTCTATTGTGATGTGCTGAGAAAGAAGCAGGTTTCTTTATAAGTGGCTTAACTTTATCTCAGCCATGGGAAAAATGGAGTAATTAGTAATAAAAAAAACTCTGGAGACTGTCCACTTTTTGTAGATATAATAACACAGAGTATATAATTGACATTTCTAAGCATCTTTAGCTGAACTGTCACTTGTAGGCTAAAATCAACAAGTGATAAATACTTCTTGATACGTTTACTTCTTGTAACATTTCATAAATTCATGATGATGAATGTTTTGTTGACTTTTGGGATTATACTTATTTATAATAGTTAGATGAGAGGATACCATCTGTTTGCTCCATACAACCAGTAGCTGGATAGCATAGCTTAGCATAAAAAACATTTTTTTGTAATAATTACAGTGTTTGATGCTCAACATTTCCAGGGGGAGGACCCCTAGACCTCCAAGGCTTAATTTAACTTATTCGCTTTTATGTTGTCCATCCATTATCTATACCGCTTTTCCCGCAGTGGGGCTGGAGCCAATCCGAGCTGTCATTGGGTGAGAGGCGGGGTACACCCTGGACTGTTTGCCAGTCAATCACTGGGCTGACATATAGCGACGGACAACCAGTCACACTCACATTCACAACTACGGGCAATTTTAGAGTCAACAATTACCCTAACGAGCATGTCTTTGCACTGTTGGAGGAAGACGGAGTACCCGGAGAGAACTCGCACATGCACATGAAGAATATGTTTTCCTGTTGTAATCATTTTAATTTTGAAAATTTGTCCTTTCTTCAATTACACAATTCCTAATGTTGCTTGTAAAAGTGTTGAGCCAGTATGCGCAGTACTTCTCCACATGTACAAATTACGAAAGGTACCACCACCACCATATTTTTAGCCAGGCCCGGCATGTATATCTACGCTTTAAGAGCTAATAATATAACTTTGCACAATAAGTTTTATTGTACATTTCAGAAAACAAGATAGAAACTTAAGTGGTTGAATAAAAGTTAACCCAGGTTAAGGTTTCGCTCTACAGCCTGTACATGAAAAGGTCATCTTGTAAAGCTTATTTACTCTGCTCTTTATTTATCTATCCAGGAGTTTTTAAAGTCTTTCAGCTGCTCCTATCTTTTCAGTCAAGTAGAGCTTATAGCAATCAACAAATAGCTTTATTATCTCTTATCTTTGCTCCCACATTGCCCAGGAAAAGGTGTAAGAGGAATCATCTGAAAATAACAGATGCCATGGAGTGTTTACTGTGGAAAAAGTCAGGCACACCCTGACATCTGGGCATGAAGAAAAAAAACGAATGTAATAAAGTGAAATTGTAGCCGCTATCCTGGTTAATGGAAAAGGTGGAGAGTAGTTTGGAGGTGCTGAAACAATGTTGCTGGAGAGGTCAGAGTTGCTGATGTAATTAGATGTGATTCCTACCAGGCAGCGCTGCAATGATTGAACTCTTTTATCAGTCTGCTCTTTAATCTATGCCACGGGTGAACATTTGGATTGAGTAGACCTGCAGTGGTTTTATAGAAGTGGGAAGAGGAGGCTCAAAACATAATCTTCCTGTCCTCTGGGCTTTATGGCAAGGCAATAATAAACCTAGTGAGCAATAATATTTATCATAGCTTTAATAAGAACTATTTTGTCTGTAAGCTTCAGCAGACTAGTATGTGTGTTGAATTTTGAACAACTAAACAGTTAAATTGTATTGTCCTTAACATCTCTGGATGCAACAGTGCTATGATAGAACTCAGGGGCACAAGTGTTTGGAAATGTGTGTAAACAGTGCTGTGGATGAGGGTTTTATGCTCTGCAAACAATGTGACATTGGTCAGAAAAACTTTGTATAAAATGAGTGAGGACATGACAAGGACATTGTAGGCTTACAAGCTAGATAGTAGATAAGAGGATGGATGCACCTCACATCAGTCTGCTGATTTCAAGCTGTAGCCAGCAGCCAGTAAGCTTACACAACTATATAGAAAAGGAAAATGCTAGTCTGAATTTATAAAAAAAAAGTAAAGCTCACTCCAAGGAGCATTGGCTTTCTAGAACCTTCACCTTTTAGTCTTACCCAAGATTATCCCAGCATACAACCTCACATAAAACAAAACATTTTCAATTAAATTGCTTTCCCCTAATTTGCAGACTTTGTGCTTAGTTTAGATTGCTGGCTGAGGCCAGGATTTACATTACAGTTATTGTCCAGTATGGGTTAACTGAAGAATATTAGTTATGTCGCTTTTTAAAAAAATTTTTTTTTTAGAGAAAGTCATATATTTTGTCCAACATTTACAACAGCCTAAAGATTCTCTGCATAACATTTAACAGAGCATCACAACAGAGTGGACAGTGGTCTGCTCTAATATAGTAAAAACATCACTGTGAGTCTACCTTTGGGTCATATTTGAGCAAAAAGAACATAGAAAAGCTCTGTGTTTAGCGCAAAAAATCACTACAGGAGCCATCATACCAAGAAGTATACAATCGTTGATATGGACGAATCCGTGTTTTTGACAAGAGGCATTCACAAAGGGTATAACAGCACTCTGACTTTAAGCTGTATACTTGTCTGTCTGAAGTAGTCTGAAGACTTTTATTTAACATTACATCAAACAGCCTTGTCTAGATTGATCAAGCTGTCACCTCAAAGTCAAACATGCCACCAAAGCAGACTTCGTCATCAGACTACAAAGACACAGATACATGAACATAATAAAAAGTACGACTGAATCAAAGGTGTGCTGAGTCTATTTAGACTAACAATACTCCCCCTTGTGTAGTATTCAGTGTTTCCCCTACCATTATATTAAGGGGGGGCGATTATTTGATATAGTCCCAACTGAGTTAGAATCTCTCCAATCATTATACTTCCTTCTTTATCGACTAGAACGGACACTCGTCATTTCCATCTCATGCATAACATGAGGAGGATATTTTGGCCCTTTCAGTTCTCTGACACGTCTAATAAATCTCACTCACTTGCTAGGTCAAGCATTCCATCACTGTGCCAAACAGGTGAGCCATTTTCTTGTGTGAGACTTGAACCCCCCCCCCCCCTCCTGTCCACTGAGCAGTCTGTCCTTTTATTGGCTGTGTCCTTGTCCTCCAGTGTCATTCTGCACTGGGACTGATGCGATCTGACTGACAATGGAGTCTGTATGCCAGGTACTATTTTCTAATCCCTTTATATTTGCTAAAACAGCAGATTATATAGCATTGGAGAAAAAATAATTACACCACTTAAAAATAGAATGCATTTTTTTTGACAGTAAAAAATAGGACGACTCACTGTTCATCATGTTTATTTCAGCTGTTTGGCAAACACTGAACAGATGTCTAATTTTAAGATGTTTTAATGTTCACTTGCACATAAAGGCTGTGTGCTTTGTCAGATGTTTCAAGTAATGACAGTTTTTTTGTCTAGATAAACACGGAAGTAGTATTTTCTGCCAAAACTTTTTTGACCCTTTCATAACAACAAAAACAAATCTGATCTGCGATCCATAAGGACAGTGCATCATCACAGCTTGAGTTAAGATGTCTGGAGGTTTCATACAAGGGGGGGTTTAAACAGACACTTTTGACACTTAAAAAGTGTCATTGATTCAAAACAAGTTTTCACTGTCCATTGTCATAATGTTGTACATTCTTTAATGTCTCTGATAATTGTAGCTTAATCTTCATAATAAATGTTTTCATGTTTTTACTCCATTTGCATCTGCGGTGATTGCTAGCAATTAACGTCTACTGGCTTTTGTCTTTTGGCATTTTCTTTACTTGTGGGTATGTACACATCCTTTAAGAAAAAAAGAAAACCCCTGTCCTTTTGCTCTCTCCCAAAAGAAAGAAATAAAGTGACAAATGAAAAACAAATAGATGAAGTCTCAACCTTCATCTAACTTTTCAACTGCTGCTAGAAAAAAAAACCTTACTTTCTTTCAGCCTGTTCAAGTTGCTACTGCCCAAATAGTTTGATACCCCTCTCTAAAATACTGCTTTAAGATAGCCTCATCCAATGCAATCCAAATATAACCACACAATAAAGTCAAATCTGTAACCACAGGAGTAAAGGATCATACCCAATCACATATTTTAAATCATAGCTACACTGAGTGAGACTGACAGAATTCAGTCACTGAATACTAACATAGACTCTCAAAAACATTACACACAATATGTTACAAACTAGCGGCAGCATAACGTCATAGAGTGTCACATTATCTATCATATGTACAAAATGTCCTTTTGGAGGTGATTTGATAAAACCACAGACCACCATAACAATCAAGTTTATCTACAAAACTGACGTATACTTAGTACGGAACATGTTTTTTTTTTTTTTATGTTACTTTGTTGCGGCATATTTATTTCACCTTTGAAGATATTCTGACAAATGCAAGGGCTGTTGACATGTGTGATGAATCCTATTACTTATTTTCTGAAAACTGTAGCATCTTTTGTAGAGCAACACTTTAAGATCCACACTTCTCAGTTTTTTGAACTAAAGTTTGTTGGCAGCACAGTTACGCAGACAATGATCTGCTTTATCCTCCAAACGCCATTCAGCACATTGGCAGTCCACTCGTTGAAACGTGCACTAATCACACTCATTCCAAAGAAGGGAATTTATGCTAATGCTTATCAGATCACATGGTTCAACTCCAAGATCGTTTCCAAGTGTGAATCATGTTCTTGAAGTCACCAAATTGCCCCCACCAGGCATGAAAGGCAAATGAGTTGATATCTTAGCAATAGTTTCAGCAGGTCTGTTTTTAGTCAACATGATCTCCTCAGGTTATATCCACTGTTGTCTTTGAATTTGGTGCTCTCTCATCGGCCTCTCTTTCTCATTTCCATTTCAAGAAGAAGTGTCACACTTTAGCAAACGTGGAAATTAAGAGAGTTGAATCGCTTCTGGAGATTAGAGTGTTGATCCATGAAAGTCCTCAGATCCTACAAAAGCTGGAAACCTTCAAGCTGTAATACTATTGGTGTTAAAGCAAAGGCCAGTGCCAAGGTGCTGGGGGAGTGAAGCAAGATGTGTTCCGCTGCTGAGCTTCGAGCGATGGCATTAGAGTCTATAGACTCATCAAGATGATGGTTCTGAGGGAAAATACAAAAATGGTTAGTGTTAAAAGAGTAGGACATTCACAACAAATTATTTTTTGGAAATGTTTTTTTCCCTCTTCCTGGGGGGGTTTAAGTTGAAATTCAAAGAAATACAATATTCATAACTAAATGACTATAAAGAAAAAGAGAAAACATGTCAATATATTTTCATAAAGATGTAGGTAAGACGATGTTGTTTATATCAATATAGTTTATGTTGTGTTATGTTATTTCTTATCTTAAAAATATTGAGATATATAATAGGGGTGGAAATCACCAGAGCTCCCACGATACGAAACTATCATGATACTAGAGACATGATATGATTCCATTGCAAATTTTAACATTTTGCGATGCGATTAAGCTTTTTAGCTGCATTTTATGTCCACTACACTAAACTAAATCAAGAACTGTTTTGTCAAATAATAAAACATTCTCAGTCTTTTCATCTCACTTCAGTCTTTTTATTTCTACAGAATGTGAGTCAAGCTCATTCAGCAGTTAAAAATTAAAATCTAAAATATTATATTAAAAAATATTGATTCTTGGGGCCATGAGACGATACAATATTGCAACACAAAAAAATTGAGTTATGATTTTTGGTCCTTATCGCCTAGCCCTATATATTGCATATTTATTGTTGTCATTTGGTCTTGCAGCAGATCCACTGCGGGTACCAACAGCTTAGGGCAGGTGGTGGCATTTCTTACAAATTTTGAATGAGGCCTGATGGTGAATGGGCTGGCGTGTATGGAAATTCCAATTAATTCACCTTCAATATTCTATTTAATAGTTCACTTGTCAGCCATACAGAAATGCTATGAGATACAGTATGTTTGTAGTGTTGTTTTTAATTTGTTACAAATGGACAGAATTAAAATGTTCTTACCACACAAAGAGAAGTATCCACTGTGACGTTTGAAACCAGTTTTTGAGCCTGGAAGAAATACACAAGATAATTCAGAACAGAAGAATTTCATTTTTTCTGTGATTGTGTGTGTCTTTCATTTAAATTCATCGGCTGAGTGATGCTTGTGAAAAATGCCCTTTGACATTAAGTTTCATTGGCTTATCTTAAAGTAGTACAATTAAGGAATAAACTTGGCCTGAGAGTTAAATTGTGACCAAAGTAAGGGCATAGTTTTAAAGTAAAAATAGGTGAAGCTAAATCTTTACTGCATCAAACAATACTCCCACTGTCTGCTCCACTGCAGCAAACTATAAACACAACAAGATTTATGGTAATACTTTCAGTGCCCTCCAATTCCCAAAGATTAGACCTGCGTGAACCTCTTTGTATAATGATTCTCCTTGAGCGAGATCTGTACAGCGAAAGTGTTTGTGTAAAAAGTTTCTCTGTGTGAGGTCCGATTTTTGTGCCATTTCAAGGTTATGACACTTCAACGTGAAAACTTTTCTCGATTGCTCCAAACCTTTTCAGCCACAAAATAAAAATACCGACACACATTTATTTTGTACACACACAAACAAATACACACTAACAGATACAGATATGGAGCAGAGAAAATGATAAAGTGACTCTACAGTGGTTTGGGAGTATAATAAAACACTGCACGCAATGCTTAAGTAGAAATTGTATGAAGGAATATTGTGGAGAAGAATGATTAATTGCTAGGGGGTCTATAGGAGGTCTTTCCTCCTGGAGGGTGATATATCATATTATCGCTATTTAAAGACAATATGATAGAGTGTCTGGCTTAAACTTAGTGATATTATCTCATTTAAAAATACAGTATAGCCCTCTATGATTTATTTAAGGAGAATATTAGAGGTCTGAAATGTGGTTTAAAGCTTAAAAGTACCAAAGCACCTGGAATCTCTGTTAACAAATTCAAGAAAACACACTTTGTATGATGTTAAATGTCAAAATTAGCACATGAAAATTGTTTTCTACAATTGCATTTGATATTTCACAACTGGTATCAATTTGCATGTCATTATCTCCTACTATTATGAACCTTTCTGGTGACATGTTTTAAAGTCATATCAGACATTTTTGCAAAGTAAGGTCCAAGAAAAGTTGTCAGAATGAGTGGAAAAATATAACCTCTGTTGTAGATAATGTAACAATGTCACTCCAAGGTCAAATTATTGTTTTTATTATGGAGCTGTGGAGCGGTCCTCTTTAACAAATGGAGATCGCTCAATCTTGTTCAGATTTAGATTTTCTGAGTGCTAGTAGTGTACAGGTGCTTCAGATTATAGACTACAAACATTTAACTATGGCATTTGAAAAGTAGATGAAAAATGAACCAAAAATGATTAATCTACGATTGCATGAAGTTTGTGTCTTAAGGCGTTAAACGGCATTAGCATCTGCGTTTTTGATCAGAAGCTGACATGGATTCAAGTAAACCTCAAACTGTGGGATCTGAAATGTGGTACTTTCTTTACAAAGATTCTGTGTTCCTGCACACACACACACAAACACACACACACACACACACACACACACACTGACAAACACCCACGGCGGCAGACACTCTACCCCTGTGGGCCATTTCTGATGTTACTGTGGCAACCAATTAGCTTTGACATGACAGCTTAGGAGACTCTGACTCCACACTGACGTCTCATCTTTCTGCCCAGGAGGGGGGATTCTGCTCATGCCGTCATAAAACCTTTCCTGATCCCTCAAGGTGACAGAGGCAAACTTCTGACACTCAGACAGAAGCTGGGAATAGATCTCTACCTGGATGTTGGCATTTTGAACTTTCTTTTACAAGTTTTGCACTGGTTTTGATGGCTACAAAACATGACAAAAATTTGACATTCATCAAAAGATTTGTTCTCGTGGGGGAAGATTAAGTCTTTATTTTTTTCTAAAAACCACAAAATGTTTTCGTTGGTAGACAAGAACACTAACTGCAAATTAACTACTGCTCTAAAAACTGAAGGTAATTACCTTGCAGTGAAGTCATTCCCCCTGGTTTCACACGTGAACACCCAAGTATCCCTTATTGAGATCATGGGAACTATAAATTGAACAAAATAACCTACCCTTTACTATTTGGACAATGTTGCATAAACTCCTTTCCTATTTTCTAAGGCATTTTTTTTATTTTTTATTTTTAAGTATAATACGGTGTCGTAAGTCAGATGGCTTCACATATTTTAAAACTTTACCTGTAAGGTCCCACAGATGTGATAGAGTGAGTCTCCATGAAGTCCCAGTTTGGTCACATCTGTCAGAGCATCCAGTGCATTACTGGTTCCATGTTTCCCCTTCCGAGTGATGCCCGGCTCTAGTACAGTCGGTTGGATTGGGGGTTGGGGTTGCCATACTCCAACATCAGTACCATTGCCAAATGCCTGGATAGCATTACCTGCAACAATATTAAGTGTATTAGTGAGGGGCACTCTTAATACTGTATGTATGGCGCAAGACGCTGATGTTTGACTATGAATCTATGAATGTAAAAGAGCAAAAAATTGCCCAAATGAGAAAATAAGTGTGCTGTGTAATATCACTAATATTATGACTTATATTCAAGTGCAGACCGGTATAGTTTCATCTTATAAGCACTGTCCAACAGAATGCCCTTTGACTACTGTTTATTTGAAAAAGGCTACATGTTCAACCAGCTAGCAGATGTCTTCTGTCCTTTCCTTTGAAATAATTACGAGAAGCATGGCCCTAAACATTTGTCGGAGTCTAGCTAAAAGCTGCTCATAATTGATACTTCAGATAATTGGCTGGAAAAAGAAATGAATTGACCTTTTCTGAAGAGCAGTGTAAAAGCAGTGTGTCTGCTGATAATAGCTATGATTCACAAAGTGGTACTGAACTCTGTCACTGCTTGGCAGAAGAAAACTTCAAAAACAATTTACCTAATGTCATTTTATCATTCTTTGTCTCTCAATTAATCTAATACACCTTTTTCAAGAACTTGATAGAAAGATGTTTAAAACTAATTTCTGTATTGATCCAGCCTTATTGATCGTAAAACTGATTTATCACACTAAATTACTGTCAGAGCAATTAGAATGAAAGCAATTCAGTTGAATTGCTCTATTTTGAGCAGTACTATGCATTTTTTCTTTTATTTAGGAAATCATGGAGGAATATCATGAGTAATAAAAAAAGTTGATGATATATATTCTATAAAACAGTCAAAGTATAACCATCAGATACAAAACCTGTCTCAAGCTAAAAGGTATCTAGACAATACATCTGGTTTATTTAATATTTTTTCCTTCTTTAAAGTGAGTCCAACACATAAAAATATACATTTGAGAATTGGCAGGTACTAAATACCCCTCCGACACCAGTGTCATTTAAAAAAAAAAAAAAAGAGTATTTTTTTATGACTGAGTAAACTGAAGGGATCTTTACCTAAAACAAACTAAACAACTAGAAACAAGCTGAGCTAAGCTTATTTTAGCAACTGTTACTTGTTTGAATGTTTCTGACATTAAATCAATATGGGTAATGTGTAATATGTTGTTGTGTTTTTTTTTTTTTTGCATTGGTATCTGCTTGTCTTTTTACATGTGGATTGTGTTTGTTTCTATTGATTTTATTTGCTGGTTCTACTGTGGAAGCAGCTGAAGGTTTGAAGCACAAATTTCCCCACGGGGGGAATAAAGTGTATCATATTGTATTAACTGCACAATAGCCCTAAAATGTGTGTCGTCAAAACAGTTTTCTGACACTTTATCTTTTTCCAATGTTTAACTGTCAACATGCGTAGCATTGCTGTTGTTAGCTTTGGTCACACACTAATTTACCTGAAATAAGTCTTTATTTTGCTCAAGACGTTGTAATTGGCAGTCTTAAAATATATGGTAGTGCTGTGAAGCAATCAATCAATCAATCAGTCAATCACTCAGTCAATCTTTATTTGTACAGCACCAATTCACTATACTCTTTGCTATTTTATATAACAAAAGAGTGGGTAAAAAGACCTCACCCATTGACCTTACTTATTGCTATATTACAAAGACCCAGCTTAATCCATCATGAGTGTAACACTTTAGCAACATTTTAGCAAAAGTTACAATGGCAAGAAAAAATGGCCTTTTAAGATGCAGAAATCTTGGGTAAATCCAGGCTCATGACAAAACAGCCATCTACTGAAACTGCGCTGGGCTTGAAAAAAGGATGCTTTTTATTTAAGCATCAAAACCCTGACCCTTTAAATAACCAGTGGTTCCCAGCCTTTTTCAACTCTGGTTCACTGCCTTGCACCTGAGAAATGCTGAGCCCCTGTTTGGACAGTGAAGTGTTTTTTTTTATCATTGTTTTAGTTCACAAGTGCAAATGTAATTTTGACAACCTCAAAGCAATCACAGCCTCGCAACCCCCCCAGGTTGGGAACCGATGCAGTAAACAATATTAAAGGTTCAGCTGGAAATGTAGTTCTGATTGATGGCTGAGAATGGGAACTCACGTAGGCATCGATTGTTGGTGAAAAACTCTGAAAATCTTTCACAGTCTGGTTTGCTGTTCCCGCTGCTGCTGCAGTCGCACCATGGTGACAGACTTATACCAAGTGATCGCTCATAATTTGGTGTCATCACCGTACCTGCAGTGTAAAAGAAAAACTATTGTTAATCATTGAAACTGTAGCCTCATTGCCGTAGTTGAAGCCCTTTAAAACATAGTTTAATTTCTGGAAGTGAGGTAATAAGGTAATAGTTACAGCCAGATGGAAAACCAACATGGAAGTTAAACTGTGTACCACTGAAGATTAAGATTAAGTGCTCTAGGAACTACACTGTGCCAGACCCCCCGGCCTGTTCGATGGCAACGTCTGGCCCATGTATTTGAAACACAAGAACATCATCAACATTGGAGCAAAACCATCATTAAAGCCACTTAAAAAAAGGCAAAAAAATATCAATCATGTGGGGTAATGTTTCTCCACTTCACAAGTCAAACACTTCTCTAAAACTATATGTAATGAGTTGTTTGGGTTTAAGGGATGTGGAGTGATTTTGAATACAGGGATATATATATTTTTTTTAGAGGGTGTAACCTGTGAAGCACAATGTGAACACTATACTGTAGATTATAATGTCTGCCTGTTGAGTTTGCAAGTGATCACTGTTGCCTGGCATTCACATCTCATTACTAAAACTTAGCGGGACATCATTTTCTCTTTCCACATAATGAAACCTGCTGATTGAGGAAAGACTGCATGAAGAAGCAGTATTTCTGTACAGTGCTCTGATGTATTACCTGTGTCATGTGAACCCAAGAGAATCCAATTTGTGTGTCTGTCAAGTAGATATGGTGCCATTAGCTCTGCTACAGAGACATCAAGTTTTCTGGCTTGCTCGTAAGACCCTCTAGATTGATTGTAATATCAGTCGTACTGCTTTAAAACTATGCTTATATACAAATAATTTGTAACAGGGAATACATTTGAGAGACACAAATGGCAGAGTGAGTAGTGTTATTTTTATGTAAACAAAATAAAAAAATGTAATTTAATGTACCAGCTAGGGTGCAAAACCGTCAATACTAAAAGTTTAGATAAAAATGGTCACCGTCAATTTATCAAATCTTACATTAGGACATTGGTGTGCTTATAGTTTAAGGACTGTTATGTTTTACTTATAGTACAACACCACTTGAGAGTGTTGTCTTTCATAAGCTCTTTAACAAGTATAACTGAGTCGCCAAGGTAATGATCCAAACCTGTTATATATGAAGAAGGCCATGGCTCTAGAGTGACCGTGTTGCAGAAAAAAAAGATGAACTGGCTTTATTTTTCAATTTTGATGTGAAGAAAAAGAATCCTCTTATAACACTTTTACAATACTTTTCTGTAACCTTTTGTATCAGGAAAACAGAAACCTGATTAAAGCGTCACTTTTAACCAATCAAACAAAAACTTTTCATAAAGAGGAAGAAAACGCGAGAACAATCAGGATCAGAAAACAAACTAGTTTGATTCCTTGGAAGATTGATTGGCAAGTTATTTTCTGGATTTGTATTCTTTTCAGTCCTTGTGAGCTTTCTCTATAACCACAGGACATTTTCTTATTTTCTGGCCTTACATGCTCATCTGATTAGATTTCCAAGATTGAGCAGAAGTGATGCGTTGATCCAATTTATAGCTTCCGATATTGCTCTAATACCTGGGCTTTGGGTATGTGCTGTTACTGAGTACCAATCTGATACTAGTCATACATTAATAACCTGTATTCCTCACTGTGAGGACCAGACCGGACATAGACATTTATAAACTGTTCTAAATTGTTATTTCAGTTTGCCCTGTAATCTGTCTTATAGCATCATTCACCCCCTGCTGTCACAGCGAGTGCACCTTGTTACATGTTGCTTGTACTGTCTCTGAAAATGTCATGCAATTAAGGCAACTGATTTAGAATTTTCTTGATGGCAGCTAAAATCGAGTTGCTGGTGTGTGATCCGCTGGAGTTTTAACTTGTAGCACCGCAATGTGAGACATGGAACTTGTGTCCAAACAGACTACTGTGGAACCTGAAAATGGGAAAACAACAATAGCTCCAGGTATCTGTAGTGGGCTTATGGCGTTTACTCCTCTGATAAGTGTTTCCATATGTTCCATATGTTCCTGTAGAGGCCAGGCAGAGCTCACTTTGAAAAATATGTACAGGTATGTGATGGCAAACTGTACTATGGTTCAAAGTGTTATGTTGCTTCTTTCTTTAATTAAACTTGTCACTCTACCACCATTAGCTTTCCTGATATTATAGTGAAAGTGTAAAATACATTGAAACTGCTCTGCCTTTGTTGTCACTTCCGCCATACTAATTCTGGCTTTGCCTAGCAGTGCACAGGCCTACCAGCGCATGGGATGACAGAGCCGTAGTACATTCACAGGCTTGCCGTTATTTAAAAAGGCATAGAACTGAATTATATAGATCAGCCTGATGGATCAGTCCATTGTCACGGTACTCGATATCAATATTGGATCAATATCTGATACCAGGCTCGGACTGGTGCATTGGGCAACAACACAGACACCAAGCAATTCATGATAGATGCCATGAGAATCCAGCTTTAGATCTAGCAATAGCAATATATTTCATTTGGCAAATTTAAAGTGTTTCTATACAACTTACCAATAAGACCTGAGTAGGAGAGCAGACAGTCAGCATAGTTCTCCCTTAAACAGCCGGATATTGAGCGAGGTTCAGGCTGACAGGCGCTGATAAAGTCTGCCAGTCTTGACCTAAAAACAACACGGATACAAATTAGAGATGCAAATTTTCCTGATAATGTTAGTTGATCATATTCCCATTTTAGGGCAAAGTTTGCATAATGTTGTCTGTTGCTATTTTTTGCTATTTTTTGCTCCTAGTTTACAAACTCTCTTTAAAAGCAGCTTTCGAGATTTGAAGGTGAAAGTCAATGGCAAAAAACTCCAGTGAATAAAGAACGATTTTTTCTTTGGACATTCTTATTTTTTTTTGTTTTATTTTGGGGGCAGGTTGGATTTGAACCCGGGCTGTCTGCTTGAACGACTAAAGCCTCCCCACATGGGGCGGGACCTTGCTGCTATTCCATGACACTCCCACCTTTTTTTTTTGCTTCTTGACCTATAAAGTATGCTATAATTTACTGTATAAATGCTATAATTTACTGTATAAAGTTTCTCTAGCAGCTTGTATATGTAACTACTCTATGATCAGGTTCTGAACTGATGATTTAAAGTTAGGCGGGCAATTTTCTGTCCATTAAGACAATGAATGTTCACTTTTCAGTTTAAACATAAGGAACTGTTTCTTGAAATACATTGTATGAATTACTACACTATATCTCTCTGCAGGTGATACAGGCTGCATAGAAATGGAAATTGCTTTCTCGTGAGGACAAGAGGGGAGTAAAGTCATTATTATCTCTATTCTTTTTTATTTTTAACAACTGAAGTTGGACGTTAAAATCTCAGATGTTTAATTATATTGTCTTTGACAGAGAAAACAACACAAGTAGATAGAAAATTGGACTGCATACATGACATAAAGATTACATTGGCTCCCTTAGGCTTCTTACCTGCAGATGTAGTTAGTCTTGCAAGTGTTCTGAAGAGACAGACAGTTCGGTTTGTCTTTATCCTCATAGGAGCATATGGGTACAATTGTTTGTCGTCTGCGTTCAGCACATGCTGTCTGATCCCCCAATGGACAGGAACAAAACAGCATCCCGTAGCTGTACTTGGTTGGAACCTTTATTTTGGAGAGAGAAAAACACACACTTGATTGATGTCTTCCAAACTCTAATTTTCCTGGTTTGCACATTGGACAAAATAGTGACAATTCTGACTAGAAATATTACATTAAATAGAAAGAGACTCTGTAAAACTTTGGACAGAAATGTATCATTTGACATTTGGCAACTGCTTCTGCAGTTTAAGGAGCAAAAACGAACCAAAGATAATAAAATATGCTCAGAATAATTACCTTGTCAAAGAACTGTCGCAGGGCTTTGTGGCACTTTCGCTTGTTACAGACCTCCGAGGCAGACACCCTGCTGGTACAGGGGTTGATGTAAGCTGAGCGGTATTTCTTACATGTGTCATTCAGGTTACACGCCTTGGCAGCCTTCAGACAGTTGTTCTCCTTTGTGGATGCAGGCTCAGCTAAAAAAGAGAGCAGAGGCACATCATGTAATGTTTACTCATGTAACATTTATTGCTTGCCTGCAGATGTAAGAGTTGAATAAATGATCTACACTTAAATATACACAGTTGAGAGTGAATCAGATGGAACATATATTAAGAGATAATTTGAAGCACGTGATGAAAAACAGAGAAGAGCATCATGGGGAAATACCATCCACTCCTTTACAATTTCTTAAAGGGATATTTAATTATCTTTACTATTCATTCATAAACCTAATTTCCACCATCATTTCAAAGCCTCTTAGACAATCAAAATTTGGGATTTTGAACCATAGAAATAAAGTTTACTTATGCATATTGTAGCATTTCATTATCTTTCAATCTGCTTGTTATTTAACATAAATCTATGAACTTTTAAGTCTGTAAAATGTAAAAAGTTGAGTCTCTAAAATGTCCTAAAAAGTTAAAACCATGTACTATTGTAAATTACTTTACAATAGTACAACGTTTTTTTAAGAAATTGGACCAGCAAATGTTTGATACTCCTTTAAAAAAACAGCTAATGGATTGATCAAAAACTTTTTGGCTAATCTTTATTGGATAAACATATTATAGTTCATTAAATAGTGGCAGCATTGTGGTTATCTTCTGAGTGGTTTATTAGATCTTGAAGCATCTTTGTCCAGAAAAACTGTTTTCAAGATTAACTTCACATATCCAATTCTATCCCAAGTCCTCTGCATCTCGCAGGCTGACTAAAAGCCTTTGTTATGTAAGTGAGGAAGGTAGATTAAAGCTGTTGTGCCTCTATTATGTTGATAAATCAAAACAATGAGAAGCGAGTATTTCTCACAGGGTCATAGCCAAAACAAAGCTTAACACACTGTCAAACAAATGTCCATTAGATATTTCATATAATAAACCCAGTTTCCTCAGTTTGACACTAAAATTGCATTATATAACTAAATAGTCTGAGTGCACTGAACCCTCTTGAACTCAATCATGCTTTTATATGCAAACAAAACATGATGTAAGTCGTGTGGAAATCCACTTTAATTTTAGTTAGGGGTCATTATTGAATGATTGCTCCACTTTGTTGCTCCAGTTGTTTCCTTCGCTACTGTTACACATTTGAGCATTGCATTTTGTGTAGAAAGGGTGCACTTCAGGTTATTATCAGATCCCCCGCTCAGACCTCATTAAAGCTGTCATTAATGATTAAATATCCAACAGAAAGCTAAAGATACAATAAACAGACTGAACAACCCTTCAAATATACACCATTTTGTAACTTCTGCATGGAAATTTAACATCAAACTCTGCTCTGTTATCATGAAATTATAATTCAATTGAAAGTTGAAGATTGGGGGATGTGGTATCACATCCATGCATTGACTGAAGTACTTTCCAGTACTTCATTTCATGTAGTGTCAGAGCGTTATGTTGATACTGGTATGCAAGGATTTTTGTTAATTTCCTCCACAGTAATCTAACAGTTTAAGGTCCTTCATTATTCCTTATTGTGTTCTTCCTTTGGGGACACACATTTGAGAGCAAACCATATGACTTGTATTTACACAGATAGATAACAAAAACAGACCAAGGAATCGTGTCTATAGAGATGGCATTTTAGCAATAGTAAAAACAGATAAGTGGTGAGAAAGATTGACAACTCCAGTTACATAATTTAAAGCAAAATACATTTTTCAACTGTTGTAGACACTTTTTAGGTGCAGTCATAAAGAGCACATCAGCTTAGTTAAAAAAAAAGATGAGAATAGTGAAAGCATTACCAAGCAGAATGCCTTTCACTTTTTGTATGATAGGCCTACTCATAACTTGAAGTTGATTTTGTTTGCCTTTGGTTTACAAAGAGCAAACATCTGATTACATTCAGAGCATTTTACCTTCTCTGATTTTCGTTGAGGACCACACCCATCTTTGCTTCCATCCTGACAGCATGCCTTATTCCTTCCATCTGACTAAAAGCATTGTATGGCAAACACAATGACTCTCACTTCTCCGTTTTCTCTCATTTGTTGTACTTAAAGTCCTTTCTGCTTGACTGACTTCTGCACGGTAACAAACTGTATCCTCAGCTTCGGGCTCGGACGAGTGAATTGTGTAATTCTGCCTTTTGAGGTGGAATTGAGGCTCGCTTCTCTCTTTCATGCACCACAGAATGAGCCATGATTAAATCTGAATACATTCTTGAACCTTGGGTTAATCACATATTACAGAACCCATTACTTACATCTGACAAGTGCCTGAAGATGTGGGCTGTGATCCTCCCGTGGCTGTATGTAGCCTTCAGGCCAAAGGTGTGACAGTGTTACCTCAATTATTGTTTCACTAAGAACAATGCTAACCTTTATTTATTTTTTTTAATTAAAAACATATTGTATACTTGTGTTTTACGCTTACACGCATGTCAGATGGTGCAAGCCATTAGTGAGCAAGAAAGTTGAAGCTGTAGGTCAAAGCGTGACTCTATATAGACCGAACACCCAATGAGAGGAAACAATCTTTTCTGCATGTAATCAGCTGAAAGCAGGGTTATGCTTTTTGTTTCTGGAGTAATTTACTGTACACCACTTTTCAAAGTACTTACCACATTTAGCCGTGCTGAAGAGAACTTTAGTTATGGAATAACATCATGCAAGTGTTCCCACAAGAATGTCATGATGTCATAAATTAGCATCAAAGGTCTTGGTGAAATTCAGTTGCTTACACTGAACATACGATTTAAAAAAAAGTATTTGTTAGAGTTTTTCTTTAGTTGTCCGATGTGTTTCCCTCAGCCAATGACAGTGCGCAGGTAAGTTTAGGAGTAAATACAATTCAGCGATTGGATACGAGTCATATATGATGGACGAAGAAACAGAAAGGGAAAAAGCAGAGAGGTGAGCAGGCAGGTTCCAAACACCAGTGGTTAGCTTGTGCTGGCGTGACGTAGCTTGCACTGTAGGTATAAGAAGTAAAATTAAACTACCTCCTGCAGTGAGTGTGTGCTACTGGGGGCAAAACAAAACAACATTTAATTTCATGTAACATTATTTAAGTTTCTTGTGGTATTATTATTATTGACCTTGCAGTGCATAACAAGTAAACCTATATATCTGCTTAACAAATACCGTACACATAAAAACACATACAGTCTTAGGAAACACCGAATCTTTGCTAAGAAGCCTTCTCAAATTTCAAGCCCTGAGCAAGTGCACAATGTTGCTATTGATGAAGACCATATAACAAGACAGTGTAGCACACACTGGAATCTGACCCTTTGACCTCCAATAGGTTGATACAAAAGACCTTTTGAAAACCTGCCAGCCAGGTGGGGTTAAATATGACTGTCAAAGAGGAGGCTAATTATTGCATCCTGGGAAGCTTTGTAAATTAGTACTGGGAATGCAAGAACTTCTCTATTGTAAAGCATGTGTTTTTACAAATGTCTTTCTTTTATTTATGTGGGATGAATAAAAAAGAAAACCCTTCAACTTATGTTAAATTGCAGCATGTTTGCTATCAAGGACATACTGAGAACCTCATGATCCTCATTTATCAGATTGTGCAATCCTATGCATATTCCTGATGCAGTCATTGATTGACCAATCATCTCTGAAATAAAGAGCAATAGGAGCAGAATGTCCTGTTCCACTGCTACCATTAACATGGAGGTCGTGAGAAAAATGGTACAGATTGTACTTAAAAACATGCCTCTGTATAGTGTATTTCCCATATGGATAATAATGCTCTTCAAAGCAATGTTCAAGCAAACAATTTTCTTTTTCTCTGAATGTAAGGTAATGTTTGAAATAAGGAAAATGTGTTCATGCCCTTAATCTGTGTCCTACATTAAAATCCCTCTGTACCGTATCAGTGAAGTAAAACAGATGACTTGCTCAACCAAATCTCAAGAGCCAGAGTGTGGATGGACATCTTGAGGACACATGCATTTAAAGCTCATGAAATAAGCATAAGCTCAGTCAAGATATCCAGTATTTTTCGTCTAGTGCAAAAATCAGGTGACGTTAAGGTTTTATGAAGTATAATAAGTAGATGATTAGGGTTCCAGACCCTTTTTTGCTGTTAAATCTTGTTTAGTTAAACACATGTGATTACTCCTTTTTTTTTAATTAAAACCTATTAATATTGATTTATTATTGATGGTAACTTGTCCTGATTCTGCTCTATTTTATCGCCCTCTGAATTCACTAAGTTAAAAACCTTCCGTCTCTGTATACTGTAAGTGATTGTCCAAAACCCTCCTTCACAATGTGTCACTGCTTTGTTTAATCCTTCCAAAGTTATCCTTCCACTAAGTGCCCTCTTTGTCATCCCATAATGGAAAGAAAACAGTAGTGGTCACTGCCCAATCTTTGATGGCACCCTGCCTTCTATCAGGCTATCTGCCAGCATCACTAAATCCCTTCCAGCATCTCAATATTTATGACCAGACCCAAGACCCATTTATTAACTGCAGCCATGTAATTAGCAAAATCTCACTTTGCTGCAAACGAACCAGCAATCCCTTTATTTTATTTGATTCTCCAGACAGTGGTTTATCCTTTATTCATCAAAACCATACTCTCTGCATCGCCAGTGTCTGCCATACTTGGTGATGTTACACTGAGACTAAAAATACCAACTGACAATTACATTATTGATGGATGGTGGCCAGAGGAAGTTTTCATACTTGAACATTTTAACCACAAAGTGACAAGGAAACATTTTCCTTTGAAACAGACTTTATTTTTTTTCAAAGTTCACCACGGTTTAAGTTAACATCTTTAGATCTGAAGGTTAGCTAACGTGGAGAGAGCGTGGTTGGAAGCCATAAAACAAAACAGGATTAAGACCTGCCGCAGTGGCCAGGGGTTCAATTCCATCACTCTGCCTTCTACTGCTTATCATCCACTACTCTGTCCTCCCAATTTTTACTTATCTCTGCTGTTTACATACCTGTATAAATCTATTATAATGTATGGAAACTCTGATGTTGACAAATTACTTAATTG